AGTCCTTTGAGGTTGGTGGCTTCCAGCCATACCTTTTGTCTGGGCGTGTATTCAACAAACTTCTCCTTATTGTGTTTCTTGACTGTTTCTTCTGCTAGTCGAATACTGGAGTGGATTTCTGTGCGAAGGTATGCTAGCTGAGTAAGTCTTGAAGCAATATCAGGAGCATCCGTTGTTCCCACAGTGGGAATATTGTGTGGAGGTTGGTAACACATGAGTGCCTGGAAAGGGGACATCTTGATTGCATCATGATATCTATTGTTATGTGCAAATTCTGCTAGTGGCAGATGGTGTGTCCAGTCTGTTGCTTGGTGATTGCAAAAGATCCAAAGATATAATTCCAGATCTTGGTTGACACATTCTGACTGTCCATCAGTTTGAGGGTGGAGCACACTAGAGATGTTCTGTTTGATGCCTAATTTGGTGCATAGTTCCCTGAACATTTGTGATGCAAATTGTGGTTCTCTGTCACAGATAGTTTTGACAGGTAGTCCAAAATGTCGGAAGACATGGTTCTGATACAGGGTGGCAGTTTCAGATGCTGTGACTGTTTTGTTGCAGGGTATGAATACCAAAGCCTTGGTACAGTTGTGATTGGTTACTACCAGACAGCTGTCAAAGCCATCGCTCCAAGGAAGATCCGTGATGACATCCATGGCAATAGATTGGAATGGAAGGTGATGTTCCGTTGAGATGGGTACTAGATCCAGTGAGTTCCTGTGTGTGATGACCTTGTTTTCTTGGCAAGTTGTGCAACCAGTGACGTATTTGCTGACATCATGAGTGAGGGCGGGCCACCAATAGGTTCTTTGGAGGATTTCTTGTGTTTTGTATCATCTGGGGTGTCCTGTGGTAGGGGAATCAATGAGATCCTGTCAAGGTTTGATGTTCTTGGGTATGTAGACTTGTCCTCTGAATATCAATAAGTCGTCTTGGATATCCCAATTAGGAGGAGTACGCTTGTCTGTGGATGAAGCGTGCTGTAATGCCAGCCAAAGGCCATGATCAGCAATGCTGTCCTTTGTTTGGCAAGTTAAGATGCGTTGTTTGATGTCGGTGTTGATGGGTTCGAGGTTCTGAATGGCTTGAATGAAGACTTCTGATG